GAACAAAGCAATTAAAACATGCAGATAGATATTTACTTTATTTATGAATTATGATAATATATCTGACCACCCAAATTAGCTTAAAGCACTTGATGCAATAAGGTTGATCATTAAGATTTTTAAGCAAGCTTCTCATTTGACAAAGGCGAAAGCTCTCACTTTTGAATGTTGAATAACTTAGAAATTAGGAGTGATCCGTAATACATGTGACTTCAGACCAAGCTCATTAATAGGGTGGGTATATATCAGAACAAAGGATTTCTCTCTTGCCTATGGTTGATGTCAGTGCTGTGGTTGATGCAGCTGACAACTCTTCTGAATGCTTTTTCTTTTCCTTCTCCTATGATGGGGACACGGCTTAAAGTGGAACGGAGTCCAGGTAGAAAATAGGTGAGTATTATACAGACAACAGAACAAAAACCTCATTGGGTAAGTGTGTTTACTTTTGTCTGTGCATGAGACCAGCCTACTTTTTCAGAATGGTGACCAAGCAGTGATGTTTGATGTAGGACGTGAGTAGCTATATATTTTTATAACAGTTTTAATAGAGGAATAAAGCTTTTGTTTCCTTAGAAAAGGAATTCTGGAGCAATGACTGAAACCACAGGTAGAAAGAAGTACATGACAGGAAACAGTCCAGGAGAGCGATGAGTAGTACTGTAGTGATGGACAAACTACAAGGACCATAAACATAGCAAGAGGGGAAAGAAGTTTAGAGAGCTGATGTTAATCAGCTAGATTAGAGATTAGTTAGAGAGCAGTGTGATCCAGCTGCTCTTGACATGTAAGTAAAGTGCTCTCAGCTGTGCCAATGTCCCCTTCCAGCACCTGGGTCAGCCCTATTGCTTGAGCCTCCTCTTATCTGTAAGGGCACTCCCCTTATCTGACAAGGGGCACTTTTGTATCTGCTGGTGGTGAGTTTTGGTCTGAGTAGATCTGAGGGGCAAAGTGAGAGAGGAGTGGATTTTAAATGCTGTTCAAAGGAAATACCATCTGGTGAATTTGTTTCAGAGTAGCAGCATAATAAAGCCATTAACATCATTGGAGCCACTCAGGCTGTTTGAATCTTAAACTGTTAGAACAAGATTCATCACTGCAGAGGCTTTGTAAACATGTATTTTATAAGCATTTATAAAACTTTAACCTTCAGTTTACTGATCCTTGAAAGGTTATGCCAGTTAGAACTCATAATGTTACACAGATCTATTGAAATGGAAGAGTGAGAAAAACACATTTTTCCCCTATGCCAAGGCTACCAATAAAAAAGTACATGAATTATTCATTTCATATATTTCATACATTGCCACAAGTTGTCAGACATTCCTTTTTTTTTATTTTTTAGTAATATATGCCATTTAGATTGGGATTAAAACTAAGTAAATTCTTGAGCAGGTACCTCTTGGTCACTGCTAATTTCTCTAATTTCTATCAGACTCTTCTCTTACTTTAAAAGCTTTCCTGTAGCAAACCAGAAATTAGGATTTAGAGACAGCTGATAGTTGGATTGGGTTTTGATAATGTGCAGGTTAAACAGCAAAAGAACATGGAAGATCCTGTGCTTTCTACCAATCAGAAAAGCCAGCAGGATGCAGAAACAGTCAAGAAGTGGTAACATCTCATATATCCTCCTTCATGGGAAAAGTGCCAGGAGTTAAAGGTGCCAAAAAAGTTTTTGAAAGAAACCGGTGGCCAGAATTGAAGACTGACAAATGTCAGTCAGGAAAGGACTGATGCCATTTTAGCAGTGAAGCTGGTTAATTAGTCTGACATACACTAGAAATTAATTAATTGTGGTAGGTGGGAAAACAAAACCTTTCTGAAGGAAGCACCCTCCTGAATATAATAGAAAGAAAAAATTAAAGCAGGGTCTAAAGCCTGAACGCCCTTGCCTTTTTTATGCTTATTGTTTTACAGAAATAAGTCCATTTCTTCCTTAAAGAGGTGAAAAATTCTGCTTGGATTGCTGTAGGAATGTATGAGCTGATTCAGGGATGCCTTGGATAGCTGAGTCTGGAGAAAAAGGTGTTAAGAAGATAGAAGTAACTTTGGGAGATTACTGTTTGGAAAAGAACCAGGTAAGCCTTCAGCACTGCTCCCACCCTTGTCAGCACAGGCAGGACCTGTGTGGGAGCACCCACAGACTTTGTACACTGACTTGAAGAGCAGGAGATGATGTGCTGAAGCTATTTCTATTACTAGAATACAGACAAGAACTTTGAGCTGTAAAGAAGCTAAGTTATTCTTCAAGAAAATGTGTATTTCTGTGGCAGTCTGATAGGAAATAAATGTGATAAAAAAATCAGTCTTACCCCCCTAGGTACTTTCTAAGTAGATCCTGTATACCATGAAATACTGATGATGTTAGGTCTCACTTCTACAATGTACCCTGCACTGACATTTTACCATCTTACCATTTTACCATCTTACCATTTTACCATTACACCAAGCTTCCATCACCAAGGAGATTAAATTTGTAATGTGGAAGAGGTTCACAACGAGAAGGAACTGCCCTAGTACACAGCCTGGAAATATAGGACACTTGAGGAATGACATAATTGCAGCCCACTTTCTGTGTGCCCAGAATCCAAGTCAAATTTGAGCTTAAACATATTTTATTGCATTAGCTTAAATCCATTGTTACACTAATATCTTCTGCCGCTTAGGAGAATTCATTAACTTAGTGTTGAAATGCTAACAGAGCTAAATATATTTTGATTTTCTGCAGACTATTTAGATCAAAATATGGGCAAGACAAACTTTCATATAGTCATGTCCTCAGGTGATGTTTTGCAGAAGATTTCTGGTGAAAGTTTCAGTACAAAGCAACTGTAGATGAATAAAAGATTCTCTAAAAAGTCTGTACAGTCATTTATTTTTAAGTCTGTGATCAGATAAAATTGACAAATGCTGAGTAAGATCCCACTGCTGACAAGGAATTACTGTATCTTGTGAAGAGACATATGAAACACAATCAGTACAAAATATATTAACTTCCATGTAAAGACAGTAGATATTTGGAAACTATGTGCTCAAGGGATAGTGGCATTATTTTTAACAGTGATAGGGGAAAGAAATGAGAATACTGTCACAGCGCAGGACCCAGAACGAACCACCAACTCTATTTCTTCAGCAGAAAAACACCACTTTGGAGAAGAGAGACCTTTTATAGTGATAATGTGACATGACTCTAGGCAAAGTCTTGAGAACCTAAGTAACTGTATTTTATGTACTGAAATGTCTAAAAATCACATGCTTTATCCTGAATGAGGACCTTTAAGACCTCATTTGCTCTAGACCTTTCCCCTCTAATTTCTCAGATAGATACCAAAAATGGCCAGTCTGAGTATTTTAAGCTGTCATTAATACATTGTCCCAGTATATACTCAGCTACAAAGCAAAGTATCTCCAGAGCTGCTTCAGCAGTGTGTTGTGTTGGTTAAGCTGTGGTAGATCTGAACTGTTTCCTTCTGTCAGAAGGTGAGTGCAAGTAGTTGGTTTTGGGAGGAGAATATTTCGATTTTTAGGCATTTAAATGAAAGTCCTACAATTCTGCCCACCTTCTAGGACAGTTGTAATCTTGTCAATAGAGATATGAATCACTAAATGATATAGAAATGTTCATTGTAGAAATATTTAGGTAAAATATCTGGAGGTAGTTGAATGTTGCATACTTCTTCCTGTTGTCAGAAGTCATTCCTGGAGCAGTAAAAATAACCTGTTTTAGGATTCTAGACATACATTCTGTCTGTTTAGGTATACTTTCTGTAAAGAAGAAAAGATTTGTCATATTTTAGGACAGGCAAATTGAAAAAACAATTGACTAATATATTTAAATGTTTCAATTTCAATGGAAAGGAAGCTCCTTATTCAAGCACTGTTTAAAATAAACTTTCATTTAAAAGGACTGAAATATGTCATGTTCTTTGACATCCTTCTTATTTTTCTGAGTTTTTAAATTTAAAAATTGTAACTTTTTTATTCTGAGGGTCTTTAAAAAAGAGAGAAAGCTATTTAAGGGGTCTGTCTCTAAAATAATATTTTTTGTTTGTATTTTCAGAAGTCTTATCCTTGAAAAAGCAGGTAACATTCATATCACCATATTTCTAACTCATATCTGTAATTTGCCTGCATATCTTTTTTCTACCAAGCTATTCAGCTATTCCACAAAAGTGCTTCATCAATTTTTCTATAAAACATTCACTGAACATTTATGCAGATTATCAGAAGGCAGAAAGTTTCAAATATATATAATGTAACAGCTGCAGCTCTAGTATCTTTAGTTTGTGTGATCAAAGTGACAAACTGCAAAGTTGTATTTGTCCATCTCTCCATTCTCTGATTCATGGAGCAGCCACTCAGCAATACTAGAGTAATTTTTGAGCTCAGTTGAGCTGAGCTGAAGTGGCCTTGAGAGACCTGTCAGTCACTGAAAGAAATCCCTTAATCTGTGTACACTCAGTCTGCAGGAAACTGACTGGGAACCACTGTAGAAAACCCAACACCTAGTTTTTATTTTAATTTTTTTTTATTCTCTGATAGCAGCTTAACATAACAGAAATGCATAAGTAAAATTTTTTAGGGATAGTTGCATGCAAAAAGCTCAGCAAATCCTTGCAAAATTTTTGATCCCTCTACCCACAGTGTGAATTACTTCTGACATGGATGTACTTATAGGAAAAAGGTTTGGTACTATTAACCTGAGAGAGCTAACAGCTTTTGAAAAGTGCTGGATATGGAAACAGTCATGGCATTAAATACCCTCAGGTTAATATGGTACTTGGCAGGTGATTATGTCATGTCTTTAAGCATACAGGCATTGTTGTAGGTTTTAAAATAATCGTATTTTCTAGGAAGAATTACAGAAATGCATCTTGACTTGAGGCTTCTCACTGCCTGAGTGAAAATACTTAATTCTTACCCATGTTTTTCAAAAGTTTGCATTCCTCCTGACTGAAAATTGGGCTGAAATAATATCTTCTTTCTTTTTTTTTTTTTTGTTAAATGAGAAAGTTAATCTCATGTGGGGAGTATTTTGAACTTCAAATTTTTTTGGGTCAGCATGATGCAAGACCCAAGTGATAAGAGTGCTGTCACAGCTTTTATTGGAAAACCACACCGTTTTCCTTTCCCCTGCCAGTAGGATGAAGTAGAGGAAGTTCAAGCAATGTTGAGAAGTCAAAAGCAGCAAACTGGGCTTTAGTGCCTGAGCCTCAAGTGTCTGTGTGTCATGGAGTTACTTTACCTTTAAGGGAGTTGGAGTTGCTGGGAAGTGCTTGGAGTCTTTTCTCCTGACCAATTATCGGTCATTGCTGGGAATTGACAGCAGTTTAGGCCATTGAAAAGTGGGATCAACTTGTGAATCCTACCTTAAAATGTAAAAGCAGAGCTCTCTGGGTTCTCTTTGTTTCCTGGCTGTGGAGGGTCCGGAGCTCCAGGCCTCCCGTCCCTGCCCAGGCCATGCGGCCGGGCGGGGATGGGGCCGGGCCTGCCCCGTCTCCCGGCCGGGAGATGGGGGGGCCTGGGGAAGGTTTTCCCCGGGCCGGGCCGGGCCGAGCCGATCTCTGGCTCGGCTGCAGGTTTTGCTGTAACTAATTCACTAAAAACTGCCCAGTGAAGAAAGAGAGAGGCCCTGGACTTGCAGCGGGTTGGAGCAGAGACCACACGCTCCAGAGCAGCCATGAGGAACTTTCCATCGCAGACGGCTCCAGCTCCTGTTCGGCAGAGATCCCCAAACCATCTACAAAAGCCTGGGCAAGATGTTAACTCTTTCATTACCCAGATGAGACTTGCGGATTAATCTTTTTATCCAGAGAGAGAGAGAGAGAGATCAACATGAAAAGAGACTTTATAAACTACCAGTGACAGGAAAGAAAAGAAGCTTCAGGAAAGGTAGAGAATTAAGAAGATGCTTTAATTAAGCTGAAATATCTCCCTGTTAAAACTATGGAGATGGACAATGAAGTCCTGAAAAGAACTCCTTTAATTCATGATATGGGATCTAGAGAGGAATAGTGTTCAAAGTGTAAATTTGAGTAAAGAGTAATTATAGTATAGTGAAGTACTGGGAGATTAAAAGCCTTGAGAGGCCATGAAAAAACTGTTGAGAGATTTGAAGCCCTGAGAGGCCATGAGAAAACTGTTTTCTGGTGAAGCTCACAGAAACAGATGAAGAAGACTTTTTTTGCCTTTGAATAACTTATCCTTAAAAATGCTATCTCTAGACTCATGACCCATACTTACTTCAGAGTGATGTGAAAATGGGAGGAGTGAACTCTAATAATAGCAGCTCTGAGCAGCTAACATTAGGGCAATAGAAAACTATAACAAAAATAGTTTTCTTGTGAGAAACTCCATAAATTAACAGGAAGAAACTTCTGTTTCTCTATAAAGACTGGTAAAAAGACTAGCAAGAATTGGGACTGTTTTAACTATCAGAGTTCCAGAGTTTTTGTCTCTGTTGTCATGTGAACAAGGGAATAGTGGGTAGATAGGGGATGGAAAGGTTTTTCTGGAAGTTTATTCTGGTGTTCTTATTATTGTGGTTTGTCAATAAACTTTTTTTTTTTTTCCCTTTTAAGTTGTATGCCTGTTTTGCTCTTGTTCTAATCCATATCTCACAGCAAGAAGTAAGTAATTTTCTTAGTTATTGGTTTAAAACCACAACACCATCAGAGCACAGACACTCCTGAAGTGAGCAAGGCTGGAGTGGCAGGAGCCTGGGCTGGAGCACGCAGCAGGATCTGCTCTCACCTGTTGAACAGTGTGTAGGAACGAGCAGAGAGCACTTTCCCCCAGCCTCAAGCAGGCAAGAACATTTCTACATGCAGAAAATAAACTAACACCAAATATATCCCTGCAATTTAAAAACACTAACTACTTGAGGACCATTAGGTACTCTGGTAGATGTACAAACATCATTTCTGAATTCAGAAAGTCCAAGCTAGAGGTTGAAGGTGCTGACTACCCACTCTGGACAAGGAGCTGTAAAGAATCTTAATTACATCATCACAAACCCAGATGAAAATACAATGGTGCACTTTACTTACCCATGGAAAAAAACGTAAGCAAAAGAAAATGTAGCCACTGAAGAACTGGCTTCAAAAGAATTTTTAGATTTTTCAACAGCTAACAAAGCAAACTGATTATCCAAAAACAAACATTGGAAACCCCAAACTCGGAGTTCAGAGAGCTCTTTTTCACGAGCTGCAGAGAGACAAAAAGACTGCCATGAACCAGACACAGCAGGAGAGCTCTGGTTCAGTGACTCCAGGTCACGATGCCAGCTGTAGGATACACCCAAAAAGCTGCAACTGTGCACTCAGATGTGCTCTATGATCAAGCTGTCTTGTTGCACTTAACACCTTTAATCTGCTTTTTCCCCTAATCCAACTGACCACAGTCCCACTGATCATCTGACAGGAGAAACTGCAAATCAAAGTAGATTAATTATTTTGTTTGCCACAGTTCTCACCATCAACCACCACATCTGTTTTGTGGTAAGAGAGCAACACACCTTGTGGAGCAACTCCCTACACGGAGAGAGCACCTGCAATCAAAGATCCTGCACTGAGACTTCAGCACCAGCCAAGCAAACTGGGAGCTCTGGGAAAGCTGACACAGGCACAGTGCTGGGGGTGTGAACACAGCTTTTAACACAGCTAAGCTAGGAGCTGTGTCAACAACGCAATCTTATCTCAAATTTTCTCATTCCCCTTCAATAGCTCTTCAACCACAGGAATTAAAAAAAAACTCATCCAGATCTCAAAAACCA